CTAAAGTTTTACATAGTTATTTCTTCAATCATTACATCTATCCACAAGTTACGTTACAGAAGAGAAAACTGGGATACACACAGACTAAGTAACTTGCCCTAAGATGCATAGTGGGTAAATTATACACCAGAAATAAAACATCCTCATAGTAGGATTTCCAGAGTCCACATTCCCTATTACCAAAAACTAATGAAAGAATGTTATAAAACACAAGTATTCTATAGATCAGTAAAAAATCTGAAAAATACTTGAAAATGGAAATATAAAACCCCCCTTTTCTTGCCTTTTTTTTTTTTTGGTGAGTCTGGGGTTTGAACTTGCAAAGCAGGTGCTCTACCACTTGAGACACACTTCCAGCCCCAATGATCCTTATTAAAAGGCACAAAGAAAGAGGTATTTTTCTGAAAGGTAGACAAATATTGGTATGGATGGGCAAGAGTCAAAAAAATTTATTAAAAAAGGGATGTAGAAGGCTTTACCTAAAATGTTTAAATGGCCTATAAAAGCTAAAGCTATAGCAACTTAAACTGTTATAGTTCTGAAACAGAATCAGTATGATAAAGAGGACAAGATTTTAAAAACAGGTCCAAGAATACATCAAACACTGTTATATATTAAGGGGAATACTTCAATTAGTCTTAAATAAATGGTCTAATTCAGGGGCAGGAAAACCACTACCTGCAAGCCAAATACAGCATGCTGTCCTGTTTTTGTTGAATACATGAAAAACGGAATGTTTTTACATTACAAATGTAAAATTATTAATTTTACCTCTTTATCCACAAAGCCCAGTTACTAACTGGTCCATCAAGGGACAGTTTTCCGACCTATGATCTAAAGCATAAATGATTTGAACAATGGATAACATCACAGGCTGAAAAAAATGTCTGGCACCTTACAATTCATACTTTAAACCAAAATACATTTCTAATGGACATCAAGTTTATAAGTGAGGAATAAAACATACTAGGAAAGACTTAAGTATGGCCTCAAAACCAGAAACCATTAAAAAAAAAAATCCCATAAAGAAATGATGTTTGATGAAGAGAACACCCACAGAGTAAGAGAAAATATTTGCCACCTACACATCAGACAAAGGACTGATAACCAGAATATATAGGGAACTTAAAAAACTAAATTCTCCCAAAATTAATGAACCAATAAAGAAATGGGCAACTGAACTAAACAGAACTTTCTCAAAAGAAGAAATTCAAATGGCCAAAAAACACATGAAAAAATGCTCACCATCTCTAGCAATAAAGGAAATGCAAATTAAAACCACACTAACATTCTACCTCACCCCTGTTAGAATAGCCATCATTGGCAACACCACCAACAACAGGTGTTGGCGAGGATGCTGGGAGAAAGGAACCCTCTTACACTGTTGGTGGGAATGTAAACTAGTACAACCACTCTGGAAAAAAATTTGGAGGCTACTTAAAAAGCTAAACATTGATCTACCATTTGATCCAGCAATATCACTCTTGGGGATATACCCAAAAGACTGTGACACAGGTTACTCCAGAGGCAACGGCACACCCATGTTTATTGCGGCACTATTCACAATAGCCAAGTTATGGAAACAGCCAAGATGCCCTCCACTGACAAATGGATCAAGAAAATGTGGTATCTATGCACAATGGAATTTTATGCAGCCATGAAGAATGAAATGTTATCATTCGCTGGTAAATGGATGGAATTGGAGAACATCATTCTGAGTGAGGTTAGCTTGGCCCAAGACCGAAAATCGTATGTTCTCCCTCATATGTGCACATTAGATCAAGGGCAAACACAACAATGGGATTGGACTTTGAGCACATGATAAAAGTGAGAGCACACAAGGGAGGGGTGAGGATAGGTAAGACACCTAAAAAATTAGCTAGCATTTGTTGCCCTTAACGCAGAGAAACTAAAGCAGATACCTTAAAAGCAACTGAGGCCAATAGGAAAAGGGGAACAGGTACTAGAGAAAAGGTTAGATCAAAAAGAATTAACCTAGAAGGTAACACCCACGCACAGGAAATCAATGTGAGTCAATGCCCTGTATAGCTATCCTTATCTCAACCAGCAAAAACCCTTGTTCCTTCCAATTATTGCTTATACTCTCTCTACAACAAAATTAGAAATAAGGGCAAAATAGTTTCTGCTGGGTATTGAGGGGTGGGAAGGAGAGGGAGGGGGCGGAGTGGGTGGTAAGGGAGGGGGTGGGGGCAGGGGGGAGAAATGACCCAAGCCTTGTATGCACATATGAATAATAAAATAATAATAATAATAATAATAGTAAAAGAAATGATGTTTGAGGAGACACATTTAACATGATTTAAACATTATATAATACATGCATGAATTGAAATATGCACACATGTGGCATCCTATTAATATGTACAATTTTGTTTTTATGTATCAGTTAAAAATAATTTATTTTTGAAAAAAGAAAACCAGAGATCCGACATGGGGGCTGCACGCCTGTAACTCCAAATGATCAGGAGGACCATGGTTTAAGTCCAGCCCAGGCAAAAAGTTAGTGAGACCCCTATCTCAACAACAACAAAAAGCTGAGCATGGAAGCATGTATCTGTAATCCCAGGTTTGTAGGAGGCACAGGCAGGAAAATCACAGCCTGAGTCTAGCCTGGGCAAAAACATAGGACTCTATCCAAAAAATAACTAAAGCAAAAGAGGGCTGACAAAGTGGCCCAACTGGTAAAGGACCAGTCTAATAAGTGCAAAGCTCTATGTTCAAACCACAGTACCATCAAAAAATTAGTATGAATGATAAAACCGCTGTATATTATAACTACATAAACTAAAGATGAAAAGTTGAGAAAATATTTGTAACTAATGACAAGAATTATTACCTTTACTATACGAAGAATACTATCAGGATTTATGTTCTCAGTAGAGAAACAGGAAATGGCATAAAAATATACAATCCACAAGGGATTACAAATGGACAGCAACTATATGAAGAAGACATATCATACTGTGCACGTACGTGTGTGTGTGTGCAAAATTAGTAATGTTTTAGTGTATGCATACTAAAATAATGAAATTTTGTCAATTAGCAAAGACTTAAAGATCTTAAGCGTACACAGACTGCTGAGGAGAGTAAAAACTGGTAGATTTTTGGTGGAAAATAATGTCCTCATGTTATAGAAATTTAAATAATCATAGAAATTTTAATGAAAATATTTAAAGTACAAAACTCAAAATTCAGCAATTCAATTAATCCTGATAAGACTGAAAAGTTTTTGTTTTCTTCTTCTTCCTATCTGCATTTTGAGTTTATAGTTTCCCTCTGCTATTTTGTAGTAAGAAAAAGCAATAGCAACAATATTTTTGAGACAGTTCCCATGCTATTTACAGACGAGGAAACTGAGTCTTGGAGCAGTTCCTGCTAACAGGCAAAGTCAGGAACCAAATGCATACTTCTACTGCTTTAGAGTTCAAGTTCTTAATTTGCATACATATTACCTTCTTAATTTAAAACCAAAAGTTTCAAGAAGTAAAACAGTCTGTGTCACTTCTGTGACAATCAACTAGATTAGAATGGTAACAAACATGTAATTATGGGTGACTTTAAAACTACAACAGGTTTATCATATTTATGCATTTTAGAAAACACATTTGTTATACACTTTCTATCCAATGATCCAATTTCAGATTAGAGTTTGAATGTTTCATACTTTTCTAATTAAATGCTTTTCACCCACTAGTAAGACTTTGCTATCATTTTTCTATCAAACTTAACTTTCATTATATAATCTCAGTAACATACAGTCATAGTTTGTATTTCTGCAGTAACACCAAATACCAATTCTTATCTAGAAAGCTGACACTTAAAATGCAAACACGTGGAAATAGTCATTCTATATAATTTACATCATGTAGCAAACAGCTAGAAAAGTAAGCAAGATAACAGATAGTAAGATGACATCATTCCATAAGTTATTATGGTATACACTAATTATAAACAGCCATCACACACGTATTTTGAAAAGATATAATGCAATTGATAGTTTTTTTCCAAAATGACACAATTTTGAAATAAAAATAAAGGGAGAAACATACCAAAGCAAGGGAGGGGACCAAAACTAAAATCCTAACTTAAACCTCAATTTGTGATTTACTTTGTCTAAAAAGACATAAGAAGTCATTTACTAATAACTAACTTTAATGAAAAGTGAAGACATTACCCACCTTAGAACATTATAAATGCTTTAAATAAGTCAGAATCTCATTAGGTTAATAGAGGAGATTGCTATATAGATAGGGAAATCAGGAGTAGCAAATTTGAAAAGGTCTGAAAGAAAAAAACGTGGGCAGGTGCAAGAGTGCAACTAGTTTGACTAAAGAGCATAAAATACAATTTGAACTAGCTCGAAAGAATTTGAACAAATGAATTTATTTTTTGGGCTATATTCTAAATCTTATTCCAGAAGGGATTATTGAATTACTAGACTTCCAAAGCACAATTCACACCTTTATAATATATCATCTACCATATTTTGACTATAGTTCAAACATTTTGTACTGTAGTATCCCTATAACTGAAGAGGAAAGATACACGCCCTACCTGATGTCTGGAATTAAAGCCAGAAGATTATATAGCAAGGATAAAGTTTTATTGAAATTTGTCATCATCTTTAAATCTGTGAAAGAATTCTCTGTATGTGCCCTTGCTTTAATATGAAAAAGTTACATTCTCACATTAAATAAACAAGAAACACAGATGACCTGAAAATTATAGTTTGTTCCATGTGAAAATATCGTACTTCCTATCACAATATTATCTTATTTCAACTTATAACTTAAGAATCACAGGACACTGATGTTTCTCATTAGAATGTTAAGTTCTTTGTATTAGCATCCTCAAGGCCAATCACTATACCTAACATACAACCACCCAACCACAGCCAGTACCAGGCAGTTCACATGCTGTTTTTCAGGAACCCAGTAACAGATACAGCTAAGTAAACACAATGTAACCAATTAACTTACATCTTTTTCTGACCGGTGTGGGAACATAGAAGACTGGCTGTAGTACATGTTTTCGTCATGGTAGTCACTGTCGACCCCCTCTACAAACTTCTTTCTTGAAGCACCAAACATGCTGTTTGTCACCTAAACAAAAATATTACTTTTATCAAGAACAGTATTTTGGAAAATGTCCAGCTTTACCTGACTCCTATGCGGAAACATGAAAAGACCATTCCTAAGACGTAAAAGTAGATAAACTAAGACCTAATGGGGCTCATAATAAAGTTATAAATCTGATTTTAAAAATATTTATTTCTAGGTTCTAAAATTAAGAGATGGATCTTAAAATCTGTTTTACACAACAGTTCTACTTATTTTTAAAGAACTAAAATCACTTACTTTTGAAAAATGACAGCTATAAATATAATTTTCCCATAAAGATTTTTTTAAGTTAAATTATCCAAAGTCCTCACATGCATCTGAAGTATCAGTCTGTCAGCACTATACCTACTTTTAAAAAATTATGTTTTCCAGAGCATATCATTTTTACTTGCAATGTAAGTTTATTGAGGTAGAGTATTTTTTGAATCAGTATACAATAGATGGCATACAGAATTTTATCTGAGGCCACAGGACACTTTTTATCTACTCATATAACAGGACAATTTTTTACTCATCACATTGTTTCAAACCTCTTCTGTTTACTACTTACTCTTTTAAGTCTTTACAACACCACTAGCAATTTGGAATCTACACAATAATTTATAAAATCTGTGCTAATTTTGCTGACTTCTATTTTTCTCTCTATAGTTTCCAGAATTGTTAGCTATCTGAGGTAACTTACATTCAACATGTCTTTCCTCTTCAAGTACTTTGAAGAGTAAATTCGAATGCCAAATAATAGCAAAGATTTGTAAATATTTGAATAAGTTAGTTACACATTTTTACAAGTACAATTTTGAAGGGAAACACCTCAAATTTGTTATCTTTTACACTTATGATTAGGGTATTTTATTCAATTATAAATAAGATGTAATTTCCTTGATATCTTATTTTAAGATGAAGTACTATAGTCACTATTATTTACCATTAGACAAGGTGAAATGAAACACTGCAGACTATAAAGGCCAAATTTCATATGAAACTGCTGCAAGTACCCATACTATTTAAGCAATTACTTTGTATCTGAGTTACATGTTAAATTTGTAGGGAACACAATTATTTAGCTATCCTTCCTAACAAGGTCTGAGAAAAAGGTATTCAGGCAGATATGAACATAACCATTAATTTGCTCTATGTTTTACAGCTATTAACCCCTTTAGGTATGAAATAATAGGTATTTTTTAAGAGTCTATTAATTCATTAGAACATAGATACTTAATCTTCTTTTGGCAGTGGACTCCCTGGTGAGCCTCATAAAAGCTATTCTATAATTCTGAACAGAATTTCACAGCAGGATTCCACATGCCTATCCAACCACCTTCTAAGTATTCTTTAAGAGGGAGTGGGGGATGTTCTTTAGTGAGTTTAATTTTAAAAAAAGAAACAGTAGCCAAAAAAAGCACTTTATAGTTTGCAAATTAGACTCAATATATACGAGACTGCAAATCTGTTTTGCAAACATTAAGAATGCATTTAATGTTCCTTACAGGACTTTCAATACTAAGCTCTAATTCTAGGAAAGAATAAACACGGAAAAATGGCATATAACATACATAATTCAATAAATTTCAGCTGAATACCAGGACATTTCTGATCAAATTTTACACACATATATTAACTCAAATATATACAAAGTCGACTCTTTTTGACAATGTTTGAATAACATTATCAAAACCAAGGAGAGACTCCAAGAATTTGAAAATTGAAGTTAATTGTATAGAATAAAACATTTCATGGATTAATACTGTGCAAGATGAAATGCTTCAAAGGAAAACACAGAAATGTCCATCTTCTTCCAATACCAGATTTTCTTGACTATGTGTGGGGGTAGGAAAGAGGAGAGAAAGAATGTACACAAAAATTCATTTTTGCTTTGTGTGCTTCAACATACAAATTACCTATCAGTGAGAATACTAACCTTTGCTACAATTTCAATAAAGAGATTCAAGAGTAGAATGCTCTGCTACCTAAATGTGAGCCCTAGACAGGGATGGTTACTGGGATGAGACAAAGAATTTTGATCCATGGCAACATTGGAAAGTATTAACAGTAGTTTTTCATAAAGGTAGATTTATTTAATTTTTAAGGGCTTGGCTTCATTCAACATATAATGATGGAACAAGGTAGGAAGAGATTTTAGAATAGGTATGGATGGTAAAATTGGAAAGAAAACAGCAGAGAGATAAACAAACTACCGAGGCAAATACTTGCAGGAAGAACATTCAGTTCAGAGAGAGAGAGAGCAAATGCATTTGTGGTATGATTCAAACAGCACGAATTTAGTGGTGAATGCAAGTTTTTAAGTCAGACGTACTGGCTAAGAGACAGATCACTGAGTACTTGCAATCTGGATTTTATTGTGTGTGAGGCGGGAAATTAAAAAAGGTATTTGGGGGAAGTTTAAGAGTGACATACTTGGCTTTTTAAAAAACAACTATAGTTATTCCAGGAAGAATGAGCCAAGGAAGTAAGAATAGAAGCAGGAAAATGGGTTAGGAGGGTAGCAATAGATGATGATGGCTTGGACTACAGAGGTAGTAGCAGATGTAAAGTGGGTGATAAAGGACAGACTTTGAAGAAGAGCAGATATGGATGAATGCATGGATGGATGATGGGTGGTGTAACGTACAAGGGGTATATATACATTTTCCTCCTAGAAGAGAATAATTAGGGAACCCAGAAGCCAATTTCTATCCATTTCAAAGAGACTATATCAATACTGTATTGAAATTACTGATTATATCATGTATATTACAGCTATATTGGAAAATGAAAAAATTTAGAACTAGTTAAAATCAAATTATACTTCCTCTTACCCTAGATATAAAATTTGTGAGACTCTTTGGTACAATGTAACAACTATTTTCAAGTGTACAGCAAATCAAGGGCTTATATCTACTTTGTTAACTGTCTACCAAGAAAGAATGATAAATGTATGACACAAAACAATGTTTCTTATATTTCTTTAAAACACAGATCTAAAACATTTAATCATGACTTTTTTTTAATCTTTCCCTTGATTCTACAAGACCTAAGCAGCATATTCTAAAAAGCATATAAAGTTAGTGCATACTAAATTCTCCTTATCAGGCTGACTCCTCCTAGTACTTTTCAGAAAGTAGTAAACAAGAATTATGCTGGGGGGTAGAATGGAAACACTAAAGTGGCTAAATTTTTTTTTGCTATACTCCATTTTTTTTTTGGACTGGCTATGAATTCCTAAGGTATGATATTTATAACATTTAAATATACTGCTTCAAAGCCAAATGCATAAGTTAGAGTAAGTACAGAAAAGAATTTTCATAAACCCTGAAGTTGAGCTAATCAAACCAACAACTTCAGAGAAGACTGGTCAGGTGGCCCTTGATGCAGAAACAGAAGTAACAGATAAGACCCAGAGCTTTTTTTAAATGGACAGAGAAATAAAACTAGTATGCTTTATAAACAAAGCTTGAAAATACATGTATGTATATATAAGCATAAATAGGAAAAGGCAGGAAAAAATAGACTATATTCAAAAAAGGACAGTGTTTAATATAACTAAATATCCTTCAGCGAGACTTCTGGAGAGGAAATTCCTCTGAAACCTAGAATGCTAGCAAATGCTGGTCTAGACACAGAATCCTATTCCCTGGAGACACTTTCCATGGCACAGTGGTCCTTTCATGTTAGCAAATATAGTATGATCACCAAATCTTTCTCTAGTCTTAACTAAAGATTCTAACAGAATATTTTAAAGTGCTGATAAAAAAATAATTCTACTTGGAAAGTACAATGTGATTAATAACAATGTTATTATTAAATTGGTAATATTTAAAACTGATTTTCTGAATTTTTTCCTTCTATTTTGTTCATTCTATCAAGCCCTATCCTTTTTTTCACAGAGGCTTTTATATTTGTCTAGTTTTATCCTTTTACCTATCTTCATCTTAGTTTAAGCTCTGGCTATATTTTTTTAAGCCTCCTGACTGGTCTTCTTTCACATTTCAACACATATTGATGAGGGTTTACTGAACGAATTATGCGGGAAAAAAAATGTCCCAATGAAGACAATGCTGAATAATAATAGCTCCTGACTTGAGCAAGCTCACAGTCTAGGCAGAAGACAAACTACAAATGAATGATAAAAATATGAAAATTTTGCTTATATTCTCTCTTCAACAAAATTAGAGATATGGGCAGAATAGTTTCTGCTGGGTAGCGAGGGGTAAGGGGGGGTAAGGGAAGAGGCGGGGAGGAAGGGGGGAGAAATGACCCAAACATTGTATGCACATGTGAATAAAATAAAAATTAAAAAAAAAAGAATAAAAAAAAAAAAGAAAATTTATATTGGTCCTTTGAGAACCCAAGTAAGTGAACATCTTACTCTGTCTAAAGAAAACAGAGTAGAAGGCTATATTATAAAAAAAGTAGTATTTGGACAATACCTTGCTTTTTTAAAAAAAAAAAAAGTAAGCTGAGCACTAGTGGCTCACACAAGACATCTCTAAAATAGAACAAAATAGACTAGAGGTGTGGCTCAATAGGTAGAGTGCTTACTTTGCAAGCCTGTAATCCTGAGCTCAAACCTCAGTCCCAGCCCCCAAAATAAAAGTAGTATGTGAAGTGGGAGGAGGGAGGAGCAAGCATATGCATATGCAAGGGCTCAGAAGTGAATGAAAGCCTAGAAACATAGGAAACAATAAAAGTTTTAATATGGCCAATATAACCAGCGTCTGAAAGGAAAGTGCTAGATGGGAAAAACAGGCAAGACCTCAGAGCCAGACTGAGAGGACCAGAGAAATCAAGCGCAAAATTCTAGGTGATAAACTATTATCACTGTGATCTTCAACACTTAAGCCAAAATGATCAAACTCTAAGTATCTATTACAATTTTCTCTACCACATTTCACTAACACAAGCCACTCCAACCTCTTCATTTTATTCTTCATTACCCTTAAATGTATTCTCCCACATCAAAGTGATTTTTACAGTAAAAATTA